TGACCCTGGAGGAGAGAGTGAGGCATTATTATTACTATCTCTTTATAAAAGTCATGGATAAAAATGTTACACAGCACAGGCCAAAGCACAGATCCCTAGGGGTACTCCTCCAGGGACCTCCTTCCAAAGTGACATTGAGCTTTTAATGACCATTCTTTAAGTCTGTTCATGCAACTGGTTCAGAGTCTGCCTGTGTTGTCATCTAGCCTACATCTTTCCATTTTGTGCACAAAGAGAACATGAGAAACCTGGTCAAATGCTTTACTAAAATCTAGGCAAAGTATGTCATTCCCTTATCAACCACTTTATTAACCCTGTACAAGAAGGAAATGAGGCTAGTCTGGCACAATCTATTCTTGATGAAGCCAAGCTGGCTCTTTGGCATCACCACCTTCCATTTCTAGACATCACTAGCCATCCCTTTAATAATATGCACTGATTTTTTTTTCCAGGAACTGAAATCAAACTCACTGATCTATAGTTCCACTCACTTCTCTCCTTTGAAAACCCAAACATCAGTCGCCCCTCTGAAATCTTGTCTCATCTCTCTTATTCTCAATAGTCTTTCAAAGAACACGAATAGTGATTCAGCCATCATATCTGCCAGTTAGTTCTAGCCCTACCTGAGCTGTAGGGTTTTCTGGGCCTCATGACTTGGATCCATCAGGGGCAGCTAGGTGAGCTGTTACTCTACATCCCTACTTAGATCTTGAATATTACTCCCTAGAAGTCATTTTGATTTCATGTTTTCCAGTCCAAATAATGTCTGGACTTGGCAAAGAAAACTGAAGCAAAGGAAATCATTGTCCCTGAGTGACTATCCTAGCTTTTCTTTGACCACCCCCCCCCCGACTATAGCTAAAACAAAACAATCCTACCTTGTCGGCTGTCCTTAGCATCTTGCTCACCCTCCCCTCACCCTGAGCTCCTACATTCTTGTCATCATTCATATAAGATTGTTCAAAATTCTATCTTCTCTTCATCCTTGCTGGAAGGAAGAGCCTCAGTCCTCTGTTACTCTTGCCAAGGCCTCTTGTGGGCAACTCCTATGACAAACTACCCAAGAGAGTCATCAACTCACTCTTTCTCATATCCCTTAGTATACTTTCCTTCTCTCCTGAGCATTCTTTCCTCTCGGCTTTTGGGGCATTGTTCTCCCATGTTTCTCCTAACCATTTGACCATCCCTTTTCCTTCTTCTTTGCTAGAACATCATCTTCTTCCCACCCACTAAGTATAGGCATCCACCAACACTGGGGCACTCTTCTCTTTCTCCTCTCCTTTGGTGTAATCATCACGTCCCACGGGTTCAGTTTATCATCCTTGGGCGGATGATACCCAGATCTCTATAGCCCTAGTCTCTCTCTTGAATTCCATTCCCACATTACCAACTTTTTGCTGGACTTCTTCACCTTTATGTTCCATAGGCATCTCAAACTCAACACGTCCAAAACAGAATTCATTGGATTTTTTTCCCAAAAAGCCATCCTTCCTATAGACCACCCTATTTCTGTTAAGGAAACTACCCTATTTCCATCACTGACCTTCACAACCTTGTAATCATCCTTAAGTCAAACAATCAACAAGCATTTATTGAGCTTCTGTTATGTGCTGTGTGCTGGGAATGCAAAGATGAAAATGAAATAGTTCCTGCCCTCAAGAAGCCTACACCTTATCAGGGGAAGCAACATATACATATATAAGTAGGTATAAAATATATGCAAAGCAAATCCAATATAATTTCAAGGGGAGGACAGGAATCAGAGAAGAATGAACAAGGATTTTTTGAGTGCCTACAATGTGCCAGACACTGTGTTAAGTTCTTTACTACTACTATTATTAGTACTACTACTACTAATAATAATAACTAACATTTATATACTGCCTACTATGTGCCAGGCACTATGCTAAGTGCTTTACTGCTACTACTATTATTAGTACTACTACTACTAATAATAATAACTAACATTTATATACTGCCTACTATGTGCCAGGCACTATGCTAAGTGCTTTACTGCTACTACTATTATTAGTACTACTACTAATAATAATAATAATAACTAACATTTATATACTGCCTACTATGTGCCAGGCACTGTGCTAAGTGCTTAACTGCTACTACTACTACTACTAGTACTACTACTACCACCACTACTACCACCACAACCAATAATAATAATAATAATAATAACTAACATTTATATAGTGCCTACGTGCTAAGCATTGTGCTGTGCTCTACTACTACTCCTACTACTACTAATAATAATAATAACTAACATTTATATAGTACTTACTGTGTGCCAGGCACTGTGCTAAGCACCTTTACAAATAATATCTCATTTGATCCTCACAACAACCCTGTGAGGTTAGTGCTGTTATTATCCCCATTTTACAGATGAGGAAATTGAGGCAGACAGTAGCTAAGTGACTTACCCAGGGTCACACAGCTAGTAAGTGTCTAAGACTGGATTTGAATTCAGGCTTTCCTGACTCCAGGTCTAGCTCTCTATCTATTGTGCCACCTCGCTGCCTTTAGGCAAAGCCTTCCTGTAGGAGGCGGCTGAAAGCTGAGCTTTTAGTATCTAAGGGGTTCTGAGAGGTCTAGTAAGGAGGGAGTAGATTCCGTGGGAGCATGGGAGACAGCCTGTGCAAAAGAAAATTAGAATCAGAAGACTTGGCAGGTGATTAGATGGTGGAGAGAAGTGAGGGATAAGAAGGCGCTTATTAGCCTGGATGAATGGGAGGGTGGGAGCGCCCTTGACAGAAATTAGGAAGTTCAGAAGATGGATTGGGGGAAGGGGGGTGGGGAGAGGGAAAGATCACAAGTTGTGCATCAGACAGATTGAGTTTAAGGTGCCCACATGGACATCCATTTGGAAATGCCCTTGACTCTCAGGTTCTACCCTTCTTGCTTCTCACCTAGACTATTGCAATGGCATCCCCATGATTCCCATGCTCTTCTTCTCTCCCCTCTATCTTCCACACGGTTGCCAAATTGATATTCCTAAAATAAATATGACCATGCCAGGCCCCTACTCAAAAATCTTCAGTTCATCCAACTCCGACTCTTTATTGCCTCTAAGAAAAAATATAGGGGCAGCTAGGTGGCGCAGTGGATAGAAGCACCAGCCTTGGAGTTGGGAGGACCTGAGTTCAAATACAGCCTCAGACACATGATACTTACTAGTTGTGTGACTCTGGGCAAGTCACTTAACTCCGATTGCTGCACCAAAAAGCAAAATATATATATATATAATATTATAATATAATTATAGTATATAAAATTGTATTACTATATTATATATATAAATTCTTAATTTAGCATTTAACTCCCTCCCCCCATCTAGCTCCTACCTACCTTCCCAGTCTTATACTGATTGCCTTTGCTGATGGTCCATTCCAGTTTAACTAGTCAACTAGCTGTTGCCTGTATGTGGCATCCCATCTCCCATCTCCGCATGTGGGCACAGGTGATCTCTCCTATCTGGAGTGAGCTTCTTCTTTGCCTCTGCTTTTTGGAATCCCTGGCTCCCTTCAGAGTTCAGATAACACTTCCAACAGAGGACCTTTCTTACTTTCTCTCCACACACCCCAGTTGTTATTATCTTTTCCTTTTAAAAATTACTTTGTATGTAATTTGTGTTTATCTGTATACATGTTGTAGCTCCTTGAGAGATTTTATTTTTGTCTTTGTATTGCCGGCACCTGGCACATAGTAGATGCTTAAAAGTATTTGTCAAATCAAACAGAAGATATAGGCGTTTAGTTGTAGTGAGACTTTGGACATCACACAGCTAAAGCTGGTCTCAGTCTAATAAGTTATTTTATTTAACTGATGGCTACTGTCCTCATGAGAGCTGTTATCACATAAGGCCCGAGTTTGTTGAATCCAGTGAAGTGATTCATGGTGCTTGACTTTATTCCTGTAATTTCATTGAAGTAGAAAACTCATGGTGAGCAACTATTCTGTAATGTATAGTCTTAGAACACTGAGTGAGATGTTAAGTAACTCACCCAAGGTCACTTGGCCAGTACATGTCAGAGATGGGCCTTGAACTCAGGTATTTCTGCCTCCAAGACCAGCGGCCCACATTCTTTTGGCATGAGTAATCCATTAATAAATGCTTTCTCCATCTATCTACCCATACAACAGCCCCCTAATGAGGACAGAAACTACAAATTCAATAAATAATCATTGACTTGGAAATAGAACTTTCAACACGGGTATATTTGTCAACATATTGATCATGGATCGCTGAGCCTCTGGAAGTACTGAAAGGCAGTGATATGATTGGGATCAGATGGGGTTAACCAGGGAAGGTTGGCAGAGGGGGTAGTGGTTTGACCCAAGATTAGGGGTGACTGGAAGAAAAAGTAGATGGCACATGAGGAACAAAACCTTCCCCTCCCCTCTCAATCCCTAGAATGTTTGCTTTCTCTTAATAGGGTGGAATTTGCATAGCAACTCTCTAGAAACTGGTTAGGTCTTCTAGGCACTATGCCTGCAATTTGAGTAGCTGCCACCGGGTGGAAAGTCAGAGTGCTTTGCTATTTTGGTGCTTCCCACCCCAGGAATGAGTTGTTGAATCCTAGACTATTTAACATAGTATCTAGTCAATATGACTTTTCCCATAAAAATGGCATGTAGCTTGTAAAACAACAATATAAATGAGCTATCAGAACACTATATTTGCTAAGTAATAAATGGAGTGGCAATACGATGCAAAGCTTAGGGAAATAAAACACCTAAGTACAATGCAGCACCTTCTTTTATTAGAGTCAACTGTTATTAGTCACTAACAATTAAGTCTCTTCTATTCTAAGGAAGGCCTTTAAATCCTTTCAATGCTTGTGGCCATCAAAAGCTTTAGGTACTAGGCCACAGCACCACTTGTAGCTTTGGCCATGGCAAGTCCTATGTATCCCAGTACTGTGTATCTTAATTGAGCCATTCCTAGTACATTTTCTTCACCTGTCTTTTCCACTATCTCCCTACTACAGGTGGCTTCAGCAAATTCCAAGCTGAGTGGCCACACCTCTGCAAAACGAAGCTTGATGCCCCCTGTGCCAGTAACTCACTAGTGCCTGTGCCAGCACCTGTGGTGGGCCTGGGAGGCCTGTGCCTCAGCTCAGACTGCTCAGATGCTGAATCAGACCCAGACAGGGACACACTGAGCTACAGTCTGGAGTCCGAGGGTGGGAGCCCTCCACCACCAGGACACCCCCCATCCTTACCTGTTCAAATTCTCCCCAACCTCTACCTGGGTAGTGCTCAGGACTCAGCCAACATGGACATGCTGGCCAAGCTGGGCATCCGCTACATCCTCAATGTCACCCCCAACCTACCCAATCTCTTTGAAAAGGACGGTGACATCCACTACAAGCAGATCCCCATCTCTGACCACTGGAGCCAGAACCTCTCCCAGTTTTTCCCAGAGGCCATTGACTTTATTGGTGAGTTGTTGTTAACCAGAGATAACCCTTCCTTCACACTGCACACACACACACACACACACACACACACACACACACACACACACACACACCAGACTCACACCTTATTCTGTATCTCCCTATTTCCCTTTCTCTTCTCCCTTCAGTATTCCCTGTCTGTCTACCCACATGCTCAGATGTGGGACAATCATGCATGCAGCAATTGTGCTAGCACCTCTGGCCCATCCTCAGACGTGCCTATACCTACATATCTATATGTCTGTCACTCTCCCTCCTTTTCCCATTTTCTCATCTATCTTCCTCCCTTCCTCCTTTTTCTCTCTTCCCTTCTTCTCTCTGACCTCCCTCCCTTGTCTCTCTCCCTATTTTTGTTTCCTATAGCACTCACATCCACAAAATGATGAGAGAGTAATACAATGTTAAACCTAATGACATTAAATGTAGTAGGAGTTTAGAGAGAGGCCAGAATACTGGACTGAGGTAGTGTCCTGGGGGACATGAGGTCTGAACTGGGCCTTGAAGGATGGGAAGGATCTCAGATACCAAGGAGATGGCAGAAAAACATTCCAGGTGAGGGATAATAGTGTGGGAAAAGGCCAGTAGGGAAGGAGCTGGAGCTGAGGGAGTGGGGATGTTGAAGGCAGCAGTGGTGGATAATGAGTAAAAACAGATGATGAAGGAAAGGGAGAAGATCTTAGGATTCTCTAGCTAGAGCTGGAAAGGACCTCCAAGGCTACTGAATCCAATCCTCTCATTTTACAGAGGAGGAAACTGAGACCCAGAGAGGGGAAGGATCCCAAATCTAGAGTCAGAAGGGATCTTTGAGCTCATCTAGTTCAACCCCCTCATTTTGTAGGGGAAGAAACTGAGGTCCAAGGAGGGAATTGGCCCAGGGTCACAGAGATAGCAAAACTGGGGTTTGATTACAATTCCTACCCTCACTTGACTTGGAGAAGCTGAAGGGATCGCAATCTGTAGTGGTGAAGGGAAGGCCCCACATGAATGTACTGAAGTAGGAAGATACACTCAATAGCCATCATCTGGAGAGCATTTAGAAAGATAAAATGGCTACCCATTCTAAATCCATTGTCATTGACATTGGATGTCCAAAATAGGCCTAGTTTGAGTTTCCAAGCTGGAGAATTGGGTTTCCTAAAAGAACACAACTCAGTGTTCCTGGGGTGGGGTGGAGGTGGGTGTGGGGTTAATGTTGATGTTGGGGCAGCTGAGCTTAGTGTTGTGGGGGACGAGATGAAGGGAAAAAGGGACCTCTTGTATTGGCTTACTTCTTGACTCTCTCTCTCTCTCTCTCTCTCTCTCTCTCTCTCTCTCTTTCTCGCTCTCTCTCTCTCTCCCCTTGGTTTGCTGCCTCCCTCAGATGAAGCTGTGTCCCAGAACTGTGGGGTGTTGGTCCACTGCCTGGCTGGCATCAGCCGCTCTGTCACCGTCACCGTGGCTTACCTGATGCAGAAGCTTCACCTTTCGCTCAACGATGCGTATGACCTGGTGAAGCGGCAGAAATCCAACATCTCCCCCAACTTCAACTTCATGGGGCAGCTTCTGGACTTTGAGCGCAGCTTGAAGCTGAAGGCCGAGGGGCCCAGGGACCAGAGGGATGGAGAGGGCGTGGGGGGGAATCACACCCCAACACCCCCCTGTTTCTTCACCACACCCACCGGTGAAGGCGTCTTTGAACTGGACTCTACCTAAGGAATGGGGCTGGGATGGGGGTTGGGGTGGAGGTTAAGGACCACTGTCCATTGAGAATTGCTTGCCCCCAAACCCAGGGGACTCCACCGAAGTTGGGGAGACCCCAATACCTCATATGAAGAGACAAGAGCTAAGAACCCAGAACCTTTTGCCATTTCCTACCCCCTTTAAAGTGGTGAAGGGGGAAAGACCTTTTCTATCCACTTGAAAAACCAAACTTCAGCAAGAATCTGAACGTGCCTATTGATCAGGTATTGACAGTAATGTTGATACTGCTGCCCCCCACCCCCACTCCTGGAGCCCCCAGCCAGGGCACAGAACCCTTCGGGACTCACTCGAAAGCCCTCCATTGGAAGGTGGCACCATTCTGGATGCCCTGCCTCTTCTGTGACTGGAGGGCTGGAGTTGGGGGTTGATTCAACAGTTCAAGGCAGCGTGCACTCCTGAAGTGCCTGCTCGGGTGCCGGGTCTGTGGAGGTTGGGGCTGGGGTCGCCTTAGAAGTGGAGTTTTTTCCAACCCCGCCGGTTCTTCAAGCCTTGCATCCGGGGCTCCTTAATGACTCAGGCGACGAACCTGTGACCTAGAACCGGCGCCTCCTTCCTCCCCGCCCCCTTCCTCTCCAGGAAAGCTCTCGAGCCACCTCAAGCTACAGAGCAGCAGCAGGCTGTGGACAGAGTGAGGCCCACTGAAGAGGTTAAACCTCCCACTTCAGGTGGGTCAGGCCACGCAATACCAGGTCTAGAACCTGGACCTTCAAGACCCAGGTCAGGAAAATCTGCTTCTATACCTTGTCCAGAACTTTGTTTGAGAGCCATACTTTTTCCCCTAAATAGGCCGGCTCTTGGGGTATCTGGGACTCAGATATGAAACCTGCCGCTCTAGAACTGAGATGTTCCAGGCCCCACATCACCATGCCATACCTCAGCCATCAACTTGGTGGTGGTTTTGTGTGTGTGTGTGTGTGTGTGCACATGTGTGTGTGTGTGTGTGTGTGTGTGTGTGTGTTCTGAGAAGGGGGAGGGGAGTGTGGGCATGGTTCTGTGCCAGGAGAACTTCCTGTGGGGAATTCTGAGCACCAGAAATGGAATAGCTATCAGAGAAGGAATGTCCGTGTATTTCATTTTTCAGGGGGGGAGGCTGGAAGGACTTTGGGGGATTTGGGCAGGGTGGGGGGGGGGG